ACACCTCACTCACACGCACACAGCTTGTAACACAGTTATTATCATGAAGGAAGTAATCGATAGTGTGATAAAGAAATTAAGCTTACACGTTAGATTGTCGTCATTATTATTATTATTATTATTATTATTATTATTATTACTGTTATTGATATTCTCATTATACATGATGATTCTACCAGGATGTTAAAGCTAATTGGTCTAGAAATAACTTCATAAGCTTTGCACTGAAGTATGTCACACTATCTAACACTAGATTACTTAAAGATGGGTCTGAGTTTATTAAGCTTCATGTTGGGGACGTTAGCTCCCCAGGACTCAGTTGATAAATGTCCGAATTTCGGGATTTTTGTGTTTTCGCGCATGGGTTGATCACAGTTGACGTTGAGATGACATTTTCTTCACTGGTAAAAAATCTTTGACTATTACTGCATGCGGGTTTGTTGTGAAGATTGTTAAGTTTTATTTGTAACCATGAATCGATCAATGTTAAACCACCACACCATTAGAAACCTGGAAGCAATGAAAGACGGCCGTTTCGTCCTGGTATGAGACTCCTCAGCAGTGCGCATTCACGACTCCTGCAACCCGCAGGATTCGAAACCAGGACCTTCGGTATTGTGCGCGAACGCCCTAACCGTTAGACCACTGAGCCGATATCTAACGGTGTTAATGTCGAACTTGATCAAATTCACGGAGTTGTGCAACCTCATAACCTGTATACATCCGAACAGGTTTGAACTTCACTGGTCACGTCTTCCCACCCACTAGAACTAGGAGAAGATTCCTCACCAAGCTAGTCACTAGTGGACACATGTAACTGCATTGTGGGGTTGTTGTGAAGATTGTTACGTTTTATTTGTAACCGTGACTATTATTGTTAGTTGATGTTATTATTTTAGTAGGTCGCTAATTTTGTGACTTTCACTAATGATGTTTCTATCATGTATCCTACATAAAATTGATTTGTGTGACTGAGAACCTCATACATTTTCTATGTCTTTTCAAAACTTCTTCTTCATCTACTTAGTGGGGTGGGGCTTTGGGATGCTCAGATTAGAGCAGCCTATCATATCAATGGATTATTTGTCTTTGCTCTCATTTATCGGACTACGGTGAACTTGTCATAACTGCAAGTGTAACACGTGTTTACAGCAGTCACCGAACAGCGGATCAGATCTAAAAAATTGCAACACACATGGTTAACTCAACACTTCACACCAAGAGAGAGAGAACACGAAGTGGTTGCCAAGGCAATCTTTCATTTTTTTAAAATTAAATGCGTGGGGTTTCTACAGAAATAGAGTGGGTAGTGTACCAAGGTCTTATGAGTCCTCCTCCTGTAAGCTCAGAGCATTCAGGGCTTGTTCTTCTGCTTCCAAAGAGTTTGTGTTTGATCGCCCTGAAATAGAAAGAAAACAGGATGGGTTAGCAATATCTACATAGTGATTTTGACTCCGTTACACAAGTATATCAACTGTTGACGAGCATAATATCTCATGAGGGAATGGATTGCCTTATTAAGGCATTCTAATAAACTCTACATTTGGCTTTGGTTCCTAATTGTTGCTAAGTCTTATTCATAATCTTGATGCCTACCTCTGAATGCATATGTTCTTCAGTTAGTTTCATTTTCTGTTCATTTGTCTAGAGGATTCCAAATTACGGATTTCAGTGAGGTATAGTTTCGCTGTGTTACGCTATAAACGGACTGAAATTAAATTCAAACTACTAGATGCTGCCAGTAGAGTAGTTCTATTGATTACGAGTTCATTGTGAGAATTAAGTGTGATTAGTTCGATCCTAGGCTATATAATCTGTGGATACGCAGTACTGAATAAAGACACTTCAAGATAAAACAGTTGCCTTTAAGTTTTAAATGATACACTGACTAAGATCATTCTTTGTCAAGGACAAACTAATGTTTCATTTACAGTTATTACTGAAATCATTATTCAGCCATTGTTAGACCAACATATGGAACTGCTCTTTAGCGGCAGCGTCCATCTACAACTCCTGCCACTCGCAGAAATCAAACACAAGCACCTTCAGTCATGTACATGAACACCTGAGCTGGTGACCTTACACACCATTGTCTTCTGTAAGGTTGAACTCCACTGATCACTACTCATTCATTTCTCTATATTATGTCATGACGAAAAGTAGCCAGTGAAACATTCACATTAACATTATATAATCTTTAAAAATTAAAAAATTTTAATCGATCAATAAAACACACACACCATATTCAATGGTCAATGTTTTTAAGACGATATTCATTTATAATCCTTATTCTCCTTGTTCTACTTCTTCTTCAATTATTCTAAAGTGAACAGCAAATAAAAGTCACATCTTTCACATGACTTGTTCTATCCCCCCCCCCACTCCATCCAATCTAGAACACTGCAGGTGGCTCTTCTACGTCTTAATCGATCACACAACATTATTCATGGCAGCTTTTGCAATCTGTCAACCTATTTAAGTATTGATTTTATTCGATCATCGATCATACGTATGGTTTTATTATTATACTCATGATGAAGTGGATAAATATTCATCACTCTTGACTTACAGCCCTCCCCCCGCTCCTATGTCCCCCGCTCTCTCTCTCCCTCTCTATCTATCCAGCATATCATTCATGTGTTAATTACACGACTTTCTATGATTTCCTTTTAAAATAAAGTGAATGGTGTGCACATTGATTTGTTTGTGTGTGTGTGTGTGTCTATCAATCGATGCATACTGTCAGTTTCAAATTGACAGCCGAAGATGTCTACTGTGTGAATTGTTCACTTCATAATGAATACTTGAACAAAGATTAAATGTGTGTGTGTTGGTCGAATGAGGGATATTATTAAACCGAATAGAAGATATTAATAATGATTGATCCTCCTCTCATTCTAACTAATCCATTAACCGCTTAGGACAACTTGCCTAGCTATAAATACAATTACTAAACATCTTCATGATTTATGCTGTAATAATAATAATAATAATAATTAATAATAGAGATTATGAATAAATTTTATTACTATTGTTATATCATAGAACCAGTTTAGCGTGCTACCTCCCTCTCTCTCCCACACACACACACACAAACAAACAGGTAGAAACTACATAAAGTGTATTTTATTGTAATCCAAAGTTCATTTCCCATGATGATTTCAAATGTGTAAAAACACTAATCTTCCTAGCTCACTAGTAGTGACTACTAGTTTCGAGAGCGAATTCTCAGAATTCTAGTGAGAAGACATGACCAGTGGAGGAGTTCAACCCTGTTTTGGGTGTAGGTAGTGACTACCCAAGACAATTAATGGTGAGGTCACGCAAAATCCCTAGATCAATCAGAGTTAGACATTAACACCGTTGGATGCTGGCCAGCTCAATGGTCCAGAGGTTAGGCGTTCACGCACAAGATAGAAGGTCCTGGGTTCGAATCGTGCGAGATGCAGGAATTAGCGTGGACGCGTACTGCCTCTGATGAATCCCATACAACAGGACGAAACGGCCATTCAATGCTTCCAGGTCTCCGATAGATCATCATCGGATTGACTGATGATTTCAAATGTGTGAAAACACTAATCTCCATAACTTTAATTGAAAATATCGTAATACGTGCCCATTAGAGACTACTATCTTCGAGAGCGAATTCTCGAAATTCTAGTGAGGAGATGTGATCAGTGAAGTTTAATCCTGTCGGGTGTAGGCAGTAGTGGTGTGAGCTACTTATAAGTAGTATATGACGTGAGTGTCAACGTAATGTCTGGTGGCAGCAGAAGATGGGGGAAGATCAAGAAAGGAAGAGTGGGAACACAATGGAATTTGTATGAAATAGCATGAATAGTGAGTGACAATGGATTGAGGTTGTTTGCAACAGGAACAGTCCAATTCGATATGATGAACTGATATTTTGCAGATTAACAATTTACGATATGGTTTTCCTACTTTACTGAGTAACTCTGTAATTTTTGTTAAATACAAATCGGTTGGCCTCACCTGTGTTCTCCTTCACTACACTGCTACTCACACTACTACTACTAATACCACTACTACTACTACTACTCAAATTACTACTACTAGTACTACGACTACCAGTATGACTACTCACATTACGATTACTCATAATACGTCCTATTTATCTGTTAAAATCAAAGCAAGTAGAATACAGTTTATTCCAATCACGTTATCGTTGATAATCGAGTCAGCATTTGAATTTCCCTGAATCATCAGTTCAATTCAACTGTATGGTTGGTATATTTAAATATTTTTTCTCTCCTAGAAATTGTACCAAAAGAAAATAAAAAAAACACTCGCACTTTAAATAAACAATCGAAATATTGTTTATAAATTTCTTTATTTAAAAAAAATTTATAATCATTTTAAAATTTACGATTATTATTATTATTATTATTTACTAAATTTAATTCATTCAAAGATATTTTATTATCCCTCTGTTTTATAAAATCAGTAAATTTGTTTTAATTTTACCAAAATTACAAAGCGCCACTTTTGAAAATGTTTAAACAAACAAACATGGTCGTCTAATACATTATAAGTTTATCATTTATTACTATTATTATTTTAAACAAATAGTAAATAAATACTTTGCGTTACCAATACAAAATATAAATATAAATTTGAATAAAAAACAGAAAAATAGGCGCACAAAAAAAAATAAAAATGATCAACAAAAATTCATTGTTTCAATAAACTGATTAAATTGTTCAATTGTATTTGTTCAGTTGTTCAATTGTTCAATGGTGACTGACTGATTAAGGGCTACATTCATATAGACACACAAGCATACACACACATTTACATAAAAACATTTATTTTTTAAAGACTAGCGAAATATTTGAATTTTTTAAATTTCCCTCTTTTTAAAGCTCAAAAAAACTTAACAAGTTAGTTGTTACATACATGTACACATATACCCTTTTAAAACAAAAATCATCTCCATACGAAAACTAAAAAACCAGATGAATATTTATTAATGATTATGTATGGCAGTTAGTTTAGAATAGTAAGTAAGTAATTATTCAATTGTTTGTTAAGTAACTATGACCCATTTATTTATTATTTATTATAATTAGTGTAGTGTTTGTTTTAATCAATTAGCTCATTTAAATAAATCATTTTTTTTCTTCTAATTACTAATAATTTATTATTATTATTATTATTATTATTATTAATATTATTCGACAAATAAAATTGTTTATATATTTAGATATATGTATGTGGTCTAAAGAAATGATATGATTTAAAACGTTTTCAACTAATGTTCAATTTTCAATGTTCAATGTTCAAAAGTATTTCCCTAATGTAGCGCCTTTCGTTTAAGGACTTAGAATGATGTTTTAAGAGGTTAATGTTATGTTTTTCTGGGGGGGAGCCGGCTGTGTGGTAAAGGAATATTTGTTTTCAATCTCTAACTTTCATTGTATCTGATTTGTTTCTTAATCAAGAGGTACCTGATGTTTCACAGTTAGAGTTTTGGAGATTTTTTGTGTTTTTACACATTTGAAATGATCAATCAATCATTGATAGACAGACTACCATTAGAAACCTGGAAGCATTGTAAGACGGCCTTTTCATCCTGGTGTGGGACTCCTCAGTGGAAGTGCGCATCCACGCTAATTCCTGAATCTCGCAGGATTCGAACCCGGGACCTTCGTTTGTTGTGCGCGAACGCCTCATCACTGGACGACTGAGCCGGCATCCAATAGTGTTAATGTCCAATTCTCATTGATCTAGGGATTTTGCGCGACCTCACCCTTAATTGTCTTTGGTAGTTACTGCCTACACCCGAAAGGGTTGAACTCCATTGGTCACGTCTTCTCAACTAGAACTCCGAGAATTTCCTCACGAAGCTAGTAGTCACTAGTGAGTACATTTTATGATATTTTGAATTAGAGTTATGAAGATTAGTGTTTGTTGCACATTTGAAATTCACTTTTCTAATGCTGCAGTCTCTAACAATGATTGATTGATGATTAAAAATGTTTTCAGGCAGAGTTTTGAAGGTTTTGTGTTTTTACACATTTGAAATCATCGATCAATCAATCATTGTTAGACAGACCACTATTAGAAAAAACCTGAAAGCACTGTAAGACGGCCGTTTCGTCCTAGTATGGGACTCATCAGAGGCAGAGCGCATCCACTCTAATTCCTGCATCTCGCAGGATTCGAACCTGGGACCTTCGGGAGATAGATAGATAGATAGATAGATGTGTGGATAGATAGATAGATTTATTTCCCTTATTCATTCAAAAATCTGAAGTGGAATATTCATGCTAAATCATCATGATTTAAAATTCTTTCACAAAAAGCTCAAAACATGTTTTTTTATTAAATAGACATACAAAAAAGAAAACGGAGATTAAGAAGGTTTCTTTTAAAAAAGACATAGAAAATGATCATCAGTATTTTGTATGATCGTCGAATAAAAATTCCATTGCATATTGAATCAGTAAGGGGGGAGCGGTGTGATTATTTACCATCCACTTATCTTTTTTTATCCACCTGGGGGTGGTGGTTAACACACAGTGAGCAAGTTATTGTGTATAAAGATGTGGGGGGGGGAGTGGGTATATATATATAAATATATATACAGAAGATATGTACAGATTTTATTTAAGATGTTATACTAGAAACAAGGTTTTCTGCTTTTTAAAGAAAAAAACATGTTTTAGAGTTTTTAAATTTTTTTACAAAAACTAGTTAAAGCCAGCCACTACTAATCTAATCAGTAAAATATTTAATACACTACTGACATGTCAACGAATGTCCACTTCAAATATTAATACGTCTACCTCTTCAAAGATAATAATAATAGTCATTATTGTTTAAAGTGTTGAGTATGTGAGGGAGAGAGGGAGGCGGGGAGACAGACAGAGAGAGAGAGAGCGGTAGAAATGAAGGGGGATCACAAATACTTTGGATTAAAATATGTATACCTATAGACAGACAATTGAAATAGTAGTATCAACAAAGTTGAATGAGTTGTAAAAGAGACAACACTGTTGTGGTCTTATGACGGTGACAATCATGATGATTATCTGTTTACTATTTGTTTTTCCTTTAATTTTTATGAATGAAACGTGCTTTCAACTGGGGTTTAGATTACTAAAAAAAGACACACCAACTTGGATACGATTATTTGCATGGATTGATTAGAGTTAAACATGAATATCGTTAAATGCTGGCTGGTTCAGGGATATGGAATTTGAGCATTCATGCCGTTGGGTACGAGAATGCTGCGAGTAACAAGGATCATGGATGTGCATTGTTGATGTATCCTATAGCAGGATGAAATGGCTATTCACAGCTTTCCAGTTTCTAATGCTGGTAGTCTAACAATGATTCAAACCTAACGATAAACGAACTAACTGATTAGTTAGTTAGTTCATCCATTGATCACCGATACAGATAGACAGACAGACAGACAGACAGACAGACACAACGCAGAACTTCGTGTGTAACTACATCAGTTCAGGTTGCCACACCACATTAGCACAGAGACGCAACTGTCAAGTTCAAAATCTAAGAGTGATAGCAATAGTAGAAGTATTAGCAGTAATCAGGGAGATTAGGAAGTGAAGATATGATTCGAGAAGTATAAGTCAGTAAGATAGAGATTATGAGGAATTCAGAAGGTTAGAATTAGAGAGAACAAAAGAGTGGATGCACTTGCGTCATTGCAAACGCTTCTGAGCCATTGTCATTCAAGGTCTCTAACCATTCGTGACTTTCATCTCGCGGACCATAACCAGATAGCCTACATCTACCAAAATGACTCAGTCCACTTGTCAGTGACACTTCATGGATTTCTGTCATGTTTTGGTTTAGCCGCTCCTAGCTTTCTTCAAGCCTACTGCTACACTACAAAACATAGCTCGTCGTGGGAGTCGGTGGTTGGGTATTCGTAACACGTGTGGCTAATCACCAATAGAATGTGTTATATCATAAGTCAGGTTATTTCATCATAAAAATCTCAATCCTAACCATATTCACCAATGTTAATATCTAACTTTGATCAATCTAAGGCTTTCGCATAACCTTACTCATTTGTCTTCGAAAGGTAACTGCCTACAACCAACAGGATTGAATTCCACTCGTCGTTTCTTCTAACTATAACTCCTTACAAAGCTCTAGTCACTAGGGGACACATTGTACGATTTTCTCAATTAGAGTTACCGAGATCATTGTCGTTACACTTTGAAGTTATGAATCAATCATTGTTAGACTGTAGTGAAGGAGAACACAAGTGGTGAGGGCAACCAAATTGTATTTAACTAAAAATTACAGAGTTACTCAGTAAAATAGGAAAACCATATCGTAAATCGTTCATTTGCAAAATATCAGTTCATCATATCGAACTGGACTGTTCCTGTTGCAAACAACATCAATCCATTGTCACTCACTATTCATGCTATTTCATACAAATTCCATTGTGTTCCCACTCTTCTTCCTTTCTTAATCTTCCTCCATCTTCTGCCTGCCAGACATTACGTTGACTGACACTCACATCATATACTACTACTTATAAGTAGCTCGCACCACAAGACAACCATCAGAAAGAAACCTAGGAATTACTAAAAGATTCCCTTTTCGTCCTGGTATAGGACTCAATGCGCATCCATGACTCCTGCTACTCACAGGATTCGAACTCAATACCTTCGGCATATTCTTTTTGACACGTACACATTTAAAACTCATATTTTAACGTTCAAAACTCAATTTGTCTTCACAACAATTAAATTTCTCAATAAATAAAAATCTTTTTATTTTTTCCTTAATTTTTTTCAACTTAATAAATCATAACTTAAGAAGACAAATTAAAACATACATACTTTATCACTAAAAAAAATTGAACATTGAATGTGTGTGTGTGGAATGGCAGGACGTGAACGAATAAGTGAACAATTGAACAATTGAACAAGTGAATTTTTGACAGTATAATTTAAATAATTTCAAAATGTTAAAAAACACTTGTTATTCATATTTTTATCAACAATATTAGTGATAGAGGAAATCACTTATCATATATATATTACTTATTTTGACTAATATGAGTAGTATTATCAGTAGTCTGTTTCATTATTCATATCATTTTGTTCTCCAGAGAGTGAGAGAGGGAGTAGTGATATTTTTTTCTTTCGAGGGGGAAATTCGAAAAATATTTACAACTTATTAATCATTGAACATTGAACGTTGAACATTGTGTGTGTTTAAGTGTGTGCGAGTGCGCGCGAGCGCAATTTACAATTTTCACAAATTCAAATGCGAAATTATTTATTATTCACTCAGAAGTAAACCGGATATTTTGTTAAGGCTTAGTAGTTAGTTGTAGTTATTCTATCTACAATTTAATATATATTCATGTCATGGTTATAGTAACGATAATAGTAATAATAATAATAATAATAATAATAAATTTAAATAAAGATTTCATTTTCTTGAGACAGTTTTTTTGTTTTGAGATAACGGAAATCCTGATTTAAACTGAAGTTGATATTTTCATCTGGCATAATGTTCACTAGTTAGTTATACTCATCGAATATATGAGAGTAACTGAGTGTGTGGGTGTGTGTGCGCGCGAAAATACATTCTCCCTATCGTTAATAATAATAATAATAATAATAATAATAATGATAATATATTCCTTCTTCTCCGTCTTGTCATAATTGTCTGTCTACAATAAAAAAAATTAGTGAAAAATTGATAACAGTAATAATAAGCAGGTGTGTTTTAAAAAATAAATGATTCAGTGAATACTGTTCAATTGTTCAATGTTGTGTTTTTATTTTTGGTGGTGGTGGTGGTGGAGTGGGGAAAGTTTGAGGATAGAGGAGAGAGTGAGGAATACATTATCTATGAACGCATACAGACACACACTCGCACACACACACAATGGTATATCGAAAATATGTATTATATTCGACTACTCATCACCATCATTATCATGAGCATCACAGTATCATCCTCATAGCCCGGAAATGTACAGTATATTAAAAAAATAACAACAGTACAAGAAAATTACTATTCAAATTGTAATAATAATAGCAATAATAATACTCATTATGCATAAATTGTGATAAAAAACTAACTTACCAGTAGACTATTTATCTTGTTTTATTCAACATTGACAACCGAAGAAGTGAAACACTCACTATTCGGTAGTAGTAGTAGTAGTAGTAGTAGTAGTAGTAGTAGTAGTAGTAGTAGTAGTAGTAGTAGTAGTAGTAGTAGTAGTAGTAGTAGTAGTAGTAGTAGTAGTAGTAGTAGTAGTAGTAGTAGTAGTAGTAGTAGTAGTAGTAGTAGTAGTAGTAGTAGTAGTAGTAGTAGTAGTAGTAGTAGTAGTAGTAGTAGTAGTAGTAGTAGTAGTAGTAGTAGTAGTAGTAGTAGTAGTAGTAGTAGTAGTAGTAGTAGTAGTAGTAGTAGTAGTAGTAGTAGTAGTAGTAGTAGTAGTAGTAGTAGTAGTAGTAGTAGTAGTAGTAGTAGTAGTAGTAGTAGTAGTAGTGTAGTGTAGTGAAGGAGAACACAAGGTGGTGAGGGCAACCGAATTGTATTTAAATTGTAAATTACAGAGTTACTCAGTAAAATAGGAAAACCATATCATAAATCGTTCATTTGCAAAAAATATCAGTTCATCATATCGAACTGGACTGGACCTGTTGTAAACACAACATCAATCCATTGTCACTCACTATTCATGCGTTTCATACAAATTCCATTGTGTGTTCCCACTCTTCTTCTTTTCTTGATCTTCCCCCATTGTCTGCTGCCAGACATTACGTTGACTGACACTCACGTCATATACTACTTATAAGTAGCGGGCACCACAGTAGTATTGTTCTTTTTTTTAAAAAATTCAATCAGTATCTTGATACTCACGATAATAGATACGAGTGTGTGTGTGTTTGTGTATGTGTGTGTGTGTTGGGAGAGGTGGTAGGTCATGTTTTGCATGCATCAAAGTATTTTTACATATAGAATATTTTTCCATTGAGACTAGTATTATTTCAATAGATGAAGTAGTGGAACTTTCATCAGTTCAGGTGATTGGGGGGGACATGTGTGACGAATCTCTCCAACCAATCAACTACCTTTACGAGCTATGTATTGTGGTGTAGGTTGGAGTAGGTTGGAAGAAAACTGAATGCCTGTCAAACCGAAATATGGCACATATCGATGAAATGTCACTGACAAGTGGATTGAGTCATGTTGGTAAGTGTTGACTACTAACTTGTTGGGGTCCGCAAGATGATAGTAATCGATAGTTAGCGATCTTGAATGACATGGCTCAATATAGCTTGCAATGGCGTAGGTGCATCCACTCTTTGTGTTCTCTGAAATGCTAATCCTCGGGATTCTTCATCACCTACATCTTTTTCTTTTTAAGTTTATTTCATTGGATTAAACTTCTTGAATAATAACGTTGAACCCTAATCTTCTCCGATTACTGCTAGTACTTTTACTACCTCTACTACTATGGGATTTGAATTGACAATCGGGTCTCTGTGTGCTAATGTGTTATTGCAAATTGGACTGATGTACGTATGTACGTACAAAGTTTTACATTGCAACTGACTGACTAACTATTACCATTACTACTACCAATACTACTATTATTACTACTATTAGTAGTAACAAAAATGACAATGTAAACAACATCCTTCTTGATTAAATTAAAGGCAACAAGTAAATGATGAATCGATTATTGTTAGACGCATTGAAGTACACTGAACAGCTGTTTCGTCCTTATTATAAGACTCATCAGTGGCAGTGCACACTCACGACAATCGTTCTCAGGAGTCGAACTCAGGACCTCCAGTCCTGTGCATGATAGCTTAACGTGTCAACTATTGAACGGACATTCAGTAGGAATAGTATCCAACTTGAATCACTACCATCCATTGTCTTCTGTGGTTAAATTGTATCTCCCATGTGATGCGCTCTTGGATCTCATTGGTCATGATTCCTTACAAAGACTTTAAGAACTCACTCATGAAGTTAGTCACTAGTGTGCACGTGATCGTTGTAACGATAAGGTTGTGGAATTCACTAGTGACTAAATTCGTCAAAGAATCTTCGGTGTCCTACTGAGGAGCCATAACAAGTGTTGTTCATCCATGTTGAGTTTGTGTGTGTGTGTGTGTGTCTATGTAATATTAGTCTCTCTCCACATTTTAATATTCCCCATATAAAGTATGTGTGGACCTTCAGTTTAGCACATGAATGATTAACCTGTAGAGCCAGGCGGTATCCAATGAAATTATTGTCTAACTTTGAATAATCTAAAGTATTGTACAACCTCACTCATCACCTTCCATAGATAACTAACTACACTTGACACAAGTAGTATATGACGTGAGTGTCAGTCAACGTAATGTCTGGCAGCAGAAGATGGAGGAAGATTAAGAAACGAAGAAGAGTTAGAGAACAATGGAATTTGTATGATGAACTGATATTTTGCAAATGAACGATTTACGATATGGTTTTTCAATTTTACTGAGTAACTCTGTAATTTTCCGGTTGCCCCACCTGTGTTCTCGTTCACTACATATTGATCACCACGTCTCAGTAGAACTCTTGTGAATTTCTTCACAAATCTAATCACTCATGATCACTAGTTTTTTTTTCTGTAATCATGTTTCTTATATGGAGTATGTGTGTCTAGCCTACATTCTTCTTCCCTGTTTGTATCCACATCACTACTAACCCATTCACTAGTTCATATTGCTTCTTTTCTGGCCTGACCATTTTATTCAATAGTGTTATTAGTTATCGAAAATATACTACTACTACTACTACTAGTACTACTACTCATCATAACAGGAAATATCTAAGAGTAATATGATAATTCAATGAGACTATTCGTACTAGACAGAGAGAGAAAACTTTTTGTTCACTTCATGCCTTGTTTTATATATCTCTCACCGCCCCGCCTTCCCCCTCGCCCCCAAATTCGTAATTAACAAATTTATCATTGAAACTTACTCTTCTGTTTGCTCACTCGTACATACACACACACACACCGAGTATATGGGAATTTTCTTCTCGTTAGGACAATATGATCTCTGTGGACAAATGAACATACGTAATTTGCATATTGATAAAATACTGCCTAACCCCCCCACCCGATTACTACTATTGCTACTACTTGTACTTGTACTACTACTGATAATGATAATGATAGTAATAGAGTAATAGTGTATTTCTTGACATAATAATATTCGAAAATGATGTTTGAGCAGGATATGTATACGTGAAAAAGGAAGTTCTGTTCTAGTCAATCGATGATATTTGCGTGAATTCAAACAGTAATTTATTAATTATTTATTAAATATATCTATATATACTACTGAAAAATAAGCATGAAAAATCCCAGTCGAAACAGTTGAGACTTCCTGTTTGCATTGAATTGAATTTTGAAGATACTACTTTTTTAAATACTGTTAGTAGTAGAGTGAGTATTAGTAATAACAGTAGTAATTTGTAATATTTCGAGCTTTCTTCCCATCCCCCCCCGCCCAAAAAAACTTGTAGCTTGTTTTAATAAATAATGACAGTTGATTTAAATAAGTCAAAAGGGAATAAGGATGGATAGAAATGACAATTCTTGTACACACCAATACACACACACACGCATGCACGCACAAATCTTTGTTTGAGGATATGACAGTGGGAAAATGTATAAATTATTTCATTTTAACAACTAGTGTATTATATGTTGTCAGCTGTGCGCTGATTGGTGAGATTGAAATGATACATTGATCCTAACATTATAAAAATTTGGGATCTCATTGGATGGTTATTTCATGATCATAGTATTGGGACTTATTGATAGAGTGTATTTGTGAGTACCAGCCAACCCCCCCTCTCCGATCACGTTTAACATTTGAACCATTAAGTTGGCATCGAATAGTGTTTTAATGTTTGACTTTATTCAATCCAAGGTATTGCGCAATCTTATACGTTTTTTTCAGTAGGGAGCTGTTTATTATACACCCGATGTGAACTCTGGGAATTTCCATCATGAAGTTAGTCCCTGACTAGTGAACACAATGGTCGATTCAGAATTTCAATGAGGATTATTGAATTGTCTGTCTAGTGAGAAGCTGTGATTAGTGGAGTTCAACCCTGTCGGGTGTACAGGCACTTGCCTACTGTAGACAATGAGTGACATTTCGGAATATTAGGAATTGACTAAAAGTTAGACAATAACACTTTCTAGTAGTTAAAATTTTGAACATGAGACCAAATGTCCTGTGTCGGATTCCTATGAGTGAGTATCGTGAATGCAATCTGCTGATCAATCCCATACTTGGACAAAACAGCCATTCAATGATGGTGTAACAATGATCAATTTATAATCTCAATTTTTATTACTGTATTGGACATTTTTTTCCTCTAATATGCAACTCATCAATTGTATACACCTACTACTCACACTACTACTATTACTACTACTAATAACAATAATAGTACACATTTTTGAAACCATGAATCGATCAATGTTAGACCACCACATCATTAGAAACCTGGAATCACTGGACGGCCGTTTCGTCCTGGTGTATGGGACTCATCAGCGGTAGTGCGCATCCACGACTCCTGCTCCTCGCAGGATTCGAACCCAGGAACTTCGATGGTAAGGCGTTCGACTACAATGCCGAAGGTCCCTGGTTCGAATCCTGCGGAGTGGAAGGAGTCATGGATGTGCACTACCGCTGATGAGTACCATACTAGGACGATACGGCCGTCTTTCAGTGCTTCCACGTTTCTAATGGTGTGGTGGTCTAACATTGATTGATTCATGGTTTCAATAAGTAAAAGTAAATGCTACAAGATTTTTTTTACATAAATTTGATTTGACTTTCAGTAATTCGAGGAATAATAATTTACTTGTGTACTTCCATATAAAGTAGCCTCAAATGAACAAACTTCACACATCTGGTTTTTAGATTTCTAATACAGTAAATTAATTCCTAATCACTTTATGAATACTATTCATAGACACAGAGAGAGAGAGAGTGAGGGTGGGCAGCAGGAGGCTGAGGAGTAGTCTGAAGAAGAGGCGAAGAAGAACAACAAGTAGTAAGTGAAACTAGTCACAGAGAGAGAGAAAGGGTGGGCAGGAGGAGTCTGAGAAGGAGTAAAAAGTGAACACTAGTCAGTGTGTGTGTGTGAGAGAGAGAGAGAGAAAGTAAGGTGTATTCACTGTGGTGGTGGTGTTAGATTAATGGTTGACCAAAAAGAAAACTAGTTCACACATATTTTCGTTAGATTCAGTCATTTAATAAGGTCATATTATTATTATTGTTATTATTATTATTATTATTACTAATATAAAACTTATCACAGATTTCTTTTATTCATTACCAAAAATAATAATGATAAAGTGACTTGTTTAGTTTGTGTGTGAGTTATAAGAAAAACTTCCATGTACATTTAGTTTCATACCAGTAAAAAGAAAGAACATATGTGTTGCATAGACATGGGATCATTTCAACAATGTGCTAGTATTATGATGATTACTATGATTATTAAGGTATTATGGGGTTGTGAAGATTGTTGTTCAGTTACACATTTTTGGAAACCATGAATCGATCAATGTTATTAGACCACCACACCAATAGAAACCTGGTTCCCCAAAGATGTGTAACTTAACAACAATCTTCACAATCCCGTAATGCAAATGACCTGTGTTCAGTAGTGACTAACTAGCTTCATGAGGAATCTTCTACGAGTTCTAGTGGGTGGGAAGACGTGACCAGTGAAGTTCAATTCTGTTCGGGTGGGAGACAGTAACTACCGATGACAGTGTATGTGGTTACGCAACTCAGTGAATTGAACAAGTTAGATATTAACACCGTTAGATACCAGCTCACTGGTCCAATGATTAGGCGTTCTTGCACAATACCGAAGGTCCCTGGTTCGAATTCTGCGGGGAGCAGGAGTCGTAGATGCACACTACCGCTGATACATAGTCCCATACACCAGGACGAAACGGCCGTCTTACAGTGCTTCCAGGTTTCTAATGATGGTCTGTCTAACAATGATTGATTGACTGATGATTTCAAATGTGTGGAAACCTCCAAAACTCTGCCCCAAAATTATTACGTAATAATCCATCTGTTTGATAGTTAGTTTTTTTTCTTTTTTTCTAACTTTCATAAAATAGCTTATCATCAAAACTGAATTTTAAACAAAATAAAAAAAGCGCCATTTGAAAATTTAAACAAACAGATGTTTTTTCTATTCATTTTGTTATTTTTAATGTAGAACTTTCTTTAAGAGAATTCTTCATAAATAGTCAGCAAATGGGTTTTTTATTCTTCGATAGGAATGATGTAATCACGTGACACTAATTGATTGTATGTTCATTGTATCATGTTCATGATGTTATTCACCATGATTATTAATTAGCATTTTGGTTTGATTTTAATGGTCAAGGTTATTGTTTGTTTGTTTGAATGAATGAACAGAATGAATTCAAGATTCAATAATAATAATGAAAAACCTTCCATATGTTACTAATGAATGAAACGATTAGAGTTAATTTTCGTTATAATGTTAATTCTTTGTTTAATTAGTTGGATAAAGTTCCGTGTTGAATATTGAATGTTGTTTAAAATTTGACTGTAGAACATTTGGCTCTTGTTTTAAATGGTATTATTTTCAATATACAATACAAATTCAATATACACAAGATCCAAGGTTATGGGTTCGATTCGTGTAAGCGCTGTTCATGAATACGCAATGCCACTGATGAGTGCTATATTAGAGGAAAGTGTTCGTCCAGTTACTTACTTACTTACGCCTGTTACCCCAAATGGAGCATAGGCCGACACCAGTTTTCTCCAACCAACTTTGTCCTGGGCTTCCCTTTGCAGTTTTGTCCAATTTTTGTTCACTATTCTCATATCTTTCTCTGTTTCTCGGCGTAATGTGTCCCTTGGCCTTCCACTTTTCCTTTTGCCTTGAGGATTCCATGTGAGGGCTTGTCTTGTGAGGTAGTTGGGTGCTTTTTGTAGTGTATGTCCTATCCACTTAAATTGGTTCTTCCTGATTTCCTTCTCCACTGGAATCTGGTTTGTTCTCTCCCACAGTCCGTTGTTGCTGATAGTGTCTGGTCAACGAATCCGAAGTATTTTGTGTAGACAACTGTAAATAAACACTTGTACCTTCTGGATGATGGCTTTGTAGTTCTCCAAGTTTCCACTCCATACAGTAGTAGAACTGTTTTGACATTTGTAATGAAAATCCTGATATGGTTTTTGTTTGAAAGTTGTTTGGAGTTCCAGATATTTTTCAACTGTAGAAATGCAGCCCTTTCTTTGCCGAAGCGTGCCCTCACATCTGCATCGGATCCACCTTGATTGTCGATGATGCTGCCAAGATATGTAAAGGTGTTAATGTCCTCCAAGGCATTTCTATCATATACATATACAAATTATTTAAGAGTTTTATAATGGACGGAATGATTCATTTTTATTTTTAGTGTATTCGAGATTATGTAATATGCGCAGGAAATACTAATCTAACAGGATATGACTATTACTGTTGTATATACTACTCATAACGTGGTTGATGAGTAGTTTTCAGTTATGAAGAGATTGTTTTCATTTCGTGTTATGGAGTTTGTTGTTTTTACATATTCAATACATGAGTCAATCATTATTAGGATACCAAATTAGAAAATTACAAGCACTGAAAGACGACCGTTTCGTCCTGGTATGCAACTCATCAGTGTCAGTGTGCATCTGTGACTCTTGCTAGTTATACGATTTCAATTCTGCTCCTTCGGTCTAGAGCGCTAATGTCTAACCTTTGAACCACTGGCCTAGCATCCAGTGGTATTAATGTCTCAGTCTGATCATTCTAAGTATTTTGCTCAACCTGACATCTACCGTAGTCACGGATATATTGAAATAGATTTGATTACTACTACTACTACTACTACTACTACTACTACTACTACTACTACTACTACTACTACTACTACTACTACTACTACTACTACTACTACTACTACTACTACTACTACTACTACTACTACTACTACTACTACTACCACTACTACTCTCACTACTACTACTACCAGTATTAGTAATAAACACTTGTAATAGTTAATCAGTTCATTTCTTCCTCTTTTACACAATAAACAAATTAATCAGTTTGGCTAAGGTTTATTATTACACTTCGCTTTTTTTCCCGTATTATTCTCTCATCTTGTTTGTAAACGAAATAGCCCCGCATAATCACTAATAATAATCATAATAAACATTAGTAATAATGAATATTAATAATAATAGTTATTATTATTATTATTAGTAATAATTAATGTCTATATCACACCTGTAAGTATCACATCGTTCATTTTATTAATTAAACAAGTGTTCTTCTTCAACGAGCGTTCGCTCGTTACACACGCACACATACACAGACACACACACACACACTCAGTCATGTAAACAAACAAGGATCATTTTTTAGACACAACCTGTTTTCCTGTTTACTTATTTACGTATATTCTGTTGATCTATTCAATGGGTTCAATAGACTAACTAATCTGTTCAATGTTATTGAAAATGCATCGAAATTAGATTAGGAATGGTAATTGTTCTTATGACTATAATAATTATTATGATGATCATTACTATTAATATGATCTAACTAACCAAAACTAAACGATGTATAATACATTCATGAAGTGTAGTTTCACTCATTTACTAACTTACATGACTGATGTGTTATTGTTTACTGAGATTTTTTTTTAATGTGTATTGTGTTGTGTAGTGTATATGGTTTCATTTAGCATAGTCATGAATATTGCGCACTGTTTGATATATAAACCAGTTAAGGTGATAGAGAGAGAATGAATATATTTACATATGTGTATATAAATATGATCTTTTCATCAAAAGTAGCAGTTTAATTGAATTACCGAAATTAATTACCAAAATAACTCATCATCATCATCATCATTAACATCATCAAAAGAATTTGTCCGAGGAGAAAGTAAGTAGAGATAAAGAGCGAGAGGCAGAAGATAGATAAAAGTGTAATGCGAATTTTTGGCTTTGAAGTTGACGCAACCACATGTGGTGTATGATGATGATGTGTGTTTGATGATAATAACTGACAGATTAGTTACATATTTTTGGAAACCATGAATCGATCAATGTTAGACCACCACACCATTAGAAACCTGGAAGCACTGAAAGACGGTGGTTTCGTCCTGGTGTATGGGACTATTCATCAGCGGTAGTGCGCATCTACGACTCCTGCACCCCACGACCTTAGGTATTGCACGCGAACGCCTAATCATCGGACCACTGAGACGGTATCTAACGGTGTTATTGTCTAACTTCGATCAATTCACGGATTTGCTAAACCTCATACACAGTCTGAAACCGAACAGGTTGAACTTCACTGGTCACGTCTTCTCACTAGAACTCGGAGAAGATTGCTCGCGAAGCTAGTCACTAGTGAACACCGGTAATTTGCATTACGGGGTTGTGAAGATTGTTGTTAAGTTACACATTTTTTGAAACCATGGATCGATCAATGTTAGACCACCACACCATTAGAAACACGGAAGCACTGAAAGACGGTCGTTTCGTCCTATTATGGGACTCGTCAGTGGTAGTGCGCATACACGACTCCTGCATCTCGCAGGATTCGAACCCATGACCTTCGGTATTGTGCGCGAACACCTAACAATTGAACCACTGAGCCTGCATCTAACGGTGTTAATGTCTAACTTCGAACAATTCACGGAGTTGCGCAACCTCATACACAGTCATTGGTAGTTACTGTCTTCCACCCGAACAGGTTGAACTTCACTGGTCACGTCTTCTCACTAGAACTCGGAGACGATTCCTCACGAAACTAGTCACTAGTGAGCACAGGCGATTTGCATTACAGGGTTGTGAAGATTGTTGCTAAGTTACACATTTTTGGAAACCATGAATCGATCAATGTTAGTTAGACCACTGTTCGTAAATTCGAGACCTTCAGTCTTACGCGTGAGGGCCTAACTTTTGGACCATTGGCCTGGCACCCAAAGGTGTTATTGTCTAACTCTGTAGAATCCAGGGATTTTCAGCGACCTCACCAACCATTGGTCTTCAGTAGTTACTGCCTACACCCTACAAAGTTGAACTCCACTGATCAATTCTTTTGACTAGAACTCCGAGAATTTCCTCACGTAGCTCCAGCCAAAAGTGACAGCACACTGTACGATTTTGTGCGACCTCACTCATTTGTCTTTAGTAGTAGTTACTGCCTACACCCGATAATCGGTGAGGTCGTGCGAAACCCTTAGATTGATCAGAGTTAAACATTAACAGCATGTTATAATGCTGCTATGCAGAGCTATTCGAAATCCTACCGACGAACCGAAATTCAGATATTCCAATATACTATTCCCAAATCTCTAATATATATTAGAACACAACACCTTAACATAAAGTTGTTAATGGGGTCGAGTACAGCAGGAACAATAAGCTTTACAGATAATGCATATTTATACAGTTAGGTCGAAGTCTGTGATATTGACAGTTAAGACGATCATAATATTGACCAGTAGGAATTGACCAATAGAATTAGACTTCCACAAATAGTTCTCTTAGGATATTTGATGAATATCCTAACATAGTGCTGGATGCTGGCCCAACAATCTCGAGGCTAAGCATTCACGTTCAACACCAAAAGCCCTGGGTTCGAACCCCGCAAGTCGCAGGAGTCGTAGATGCGCACTGCCACTTACGAAATGGCCGTCTTTCAATACTTCCAGGTTTCTTTCTAATAGTGTGACCTAACACTGATCGAATGATTCGTGATTTCAAAGAATTAACGTTTATTTGTTGTGCGCGAATGCCTAATCATCGGATCACTGAGCCGGTATCTAACGGTGTTAATATCTAACTTGATCAATTCACGGAGTTGCGCAACCTCATACACAGTCTTTGGTAGTTACTGTCTACACTCGAACTGGTTGAACTTCACTGGTCATGTCTTCCCACCCACTAGAACTCGGAGAAGATTGCCCGCGAAGCTAGTCGTCACTAGTGAACAAAGGTAATTTGCATTACGGGGTTGTTGTGAAGATTGTTGTTAAGTTACACATTTCTGAAACCATGAATCGATCAATGTTAGACTCATACCATTAAAAAACCTCGAAGCACTGAAAGACAGTCGTTTCGTCCTGGTATGGGACTATTTATTCATCAGCGGTAGTGCGCATCCACGACTCCTGCACCCCATAGGATTTGAACCCACGACCTTCGGTATTGTGCGCGAACACCTAATCATCGGACCACTAAGCCGGTATCTAACTGTGTTGATGTTTAACTTGATCAGAAGGAATAATAAGCTTTACAGATAATGCATATTTATACAGTTAGGTCGAAGTCTGTGATATTGACAGTTAGGACGATCATAATATTGACCAGTAGGAATTGACCAATAGAATTAGACTTCCGCAAATAGTTCTCTTAGGATATTTTGATGAATATCCTAACATAGTGCTAGATGCTGGCCCTACAGTCTCGAGGTTAAGCATTCACACTCCAAGACCGAAAATCCTGGGTTCGAACCCCGCAAGTCGCAGGAGTCGTACATGCGCACTTCCCCCTGATGGGTAGTCAATTACACCAGGAGGAAATGGTCTAACATTGATCGATCGATTCATGATTTCAAAGAATTTACGTTTATCTGTTGATGTTGTTGCTGTTTTCAAATGTGTTATTGTGTATTTTAGTTGTGTGTCTGTCTGTATGTGTGTGTGTGTGTGACTGTTAGCGAGAGAGAGAGAGAGAGAGACTGGGACGTAATTTTCATCTCACTAGAAATTAATAAGTAAATAAATAACATTTACATTGTTTGTTTTGTTTTTTTTTCGTTGGGAATTTCCCCTCAAAAAAATAAACACATTCGGTAGGTACACAAAAAAAAAAACAACGATAAATTGTAACAACACAATAAAATGATGTTAGTGATGAACTCTTCTAGACAGAAACGAGTAAAACAAAAAACGCTAATCGTTGTTTGATTTGACTTTTTGGATAACTAACTAACTAACTAACGGTTAACTCTATCGGCAATGTATATGTGTACTGATTGTCTCTAGCTTTCCATGTATAGACGGACGGACACACACACGCATGCATACAGACACACAGACACAGACATGCATGCACACACATTAGGCAAAGGCATTTACGAATAATAATCATAATCATAATAATAATAACCAAAAAAACGGTAGTCAACGCATTATACTACTGATTATCAGTTATAATTAGTATCTGTCAAATGTAAATGATGAGTATATGATGATGATAGTGTGTTTTGATAGGATTTTTGTGTGATTATTATGCTGATGATGATGATTACTGTTGATAAGTTTGGTTGAAAACTAGTTAAAGCAAACGAATGAGGAAAAAAAGTTACAATGGCAAGTATATGTGTGTGAGAAAAGGTAGGTAGGTGGGTAGGTAGGTAGGTAGATAGGTAGGTAAACAGTTACGCACACATTCACACACACACACACAACAATTTACCCCGAAATGTACACAAAAAAATAATGAGTGATTTATCACTGCGCACTGCATTCAACAAAGAAATACAAAGTGAACAACAAGTGAAAAGCACTACAAAAGAAATTGGGGGCGAAAAAAAATCACAGAGAATAAGAAGAAAACCAATTTTTCACACTGGAATAGAGACTATTCATATCAACCGGCAAACGATGTAAGTACAGGTGGTAGCGCACACAGACACACACATATGCAAAGACAAGCAGACATTTGGACACATACACTTGAGGAAGATGTTACACAAACTTATACATTGATAAATATGTTTGGTGCGAACAATGGATAAATAATTTATTTATTGTGTTTCACTCTTTGTTTTCGGTGTAAAAAATGTTGATAAATATTTGTTTGTTTATTCGGTTGTTTGATTGTTTTGCTTTTCATAAACATCACGGTAACTAAGCACGCACGTAGTGATCAGAAAACACAAATAACTATTTTTAGAAAGATATATTTTTACAAAAATAATAATAATAATAATAGTAATAATAAGTTGATTAATTAAGTGTTTTAATTATTTATATATATATATATATATATATATATATATATATATATATTTTTTTTTATTCGTTTGATTCGGTTTGCCATAATCAACAAAGGTCGAGCCGATAGATTAATGCAAAATTACTGATAACTATGAATATACAAAAATATATATATATATATATATATATATATATATATATATATCACTTGAAGTGTAGGAATAAATATTCTGTGGATAATAATAGTTATAAGATGAAAAAAATGTTTGATTTTGAAACAAATAACTGAAAAAAATACACCTTCGAAAAAGTGGTAACCTATGTATCTAACTATCTATCTATCTATCTATCCACACATCTACTTATCTCATTCCGCAGAAAACCAGTTTCTTAAGAAAGACACTAACCAGAATTGTCGGTAGCCTATACTTACTCAAGCAGAGGTAGCAGACGTACGTACGTAAGTAAGTAAGTAAGTAAGGTGTGTAAGTAAGTAAGTAAGTAAGTAAGTAAGGTGTGTAAGTAAGTAAGTAAGTAAGTAAGTAAGTAGGTAAGTAAGTAAGTAAGTAAGTAAGTAAGTAAGTAAGTAAGTAAGTAAGTAAGTAAGTAAGTAAGTAAGTAAGTAAGTAAGTAAGTAAGTAAGTGTGTGTAAGTAAGTAAGTAAGTAAGTGACCTCATGGTGACCTCATGCACAATTGTCTTAGTTAGGTAACTAGCTACATCCCACAAGGTTGAACTCCACTGATCATGATTAGATCCATGTTTGACAACCATTAAAAACATGGTAGCACCAGCTAGTCGTTTCGTCCTAGTATGGAATTCATCAGGTGTGTAGGAAGTTAGTTACCTACCCGAAGATAATGAGTCCGGTTGCACAATACCTTGAATAAATCAAAGTTAAACATGAACACCATTGGATGCCCGCTTCGTGATTTACAGCTTAAGTGTTCGTACATGAGATTGTAGGTCCTGAATTCGATTCATGTAAGTACTGAAGGTCATGAATGTACACTACTGATAATTCCTATGGTAAGATAATATGGTTGTTCAATTGTAGTGAAGGAGAACACAGTTGAGGACAACCAAAACTGTATTAAACGAATATTACAGAGTTACTGAGTAAAATCGAAAAACCATATTGTAAATCATTCATTTGCAAAATATCAGTTCATCATATCGAACTGGACTGTTCCTGTTGCAAACAACATCAATCCATTGTCACTATTTATGCTATTTCATACAAATTCCATTGTGTTCTAACTCTTCCTTTCACTTGATCTTCCCCCCCCCCCCAATCTTCTGCTGCTGTCAGACATTACGTTGACTGACGCTCACGTCATATACTACTACTTATAAGTAGCTCGCACCACACAATGACTAAATTTTCTAAAAATTTATCAGTTTTTCTTCTGTATTCATTACGTAATAGTAATAGTAATAGTATAATTTAATTATATAAATTTTTTCTCCCACTTTAGAATATAATCATTGAAAGTACTGAACAATTCATTAAAGATACTGGCGATAATCAAACTACATTAAATCTATCCATTCAAACACCTTACAATGAACATTGTACATTGAATAGTATCGGGCAAACAACTTCTTCTTCGTTCATAAACACTTCATCCTCAACATCAACAATAATGACAAATTCCACACTACCATTAACTACTACTACTACTAATACTAATACTACTACTAATAATAATAGTAGTAATGATGTTTTCAATTATTCCAATCTAATCAATATGATACAAAGCCAATCATTCAATCCAATGAAATCATTCTATGAAAATATTGAACAAATCTATGAAAATCTCATGAAACATCAACAACTCACATCATTCTCTCAATATTCACAACAACATGAACCACACGAACAACAAACGCCATTACCAGTCAATCATGATTTGAATAGATTGATTCATCATCCACCCTCTTTAGGCCAAACAGCAACATCAACAACATCAGGGATGAGCAACCAGAACAACAACACTGTCACACAGATCAATTCTACAAATGATCATCAATGTGTACAATGTTTCATATGTCATCAATCGATTGTCAACGATTCGAATGAAACGAATAATGACCTTGAAAATCTTGTCAAACATTTAACAATGCAACATATGTTACCATTACCGATTGTAATGAATTACGTAATTGGTTATATGAATGAAAGAGGTGATAGTTATAACAATACTACTAGTACTAATGATACTACTACTAATACTACTACTACTAATAGTACGTTGACTGTTAAACCGAATCAAAATATTCAATTTATGCCTAAATTGAATATTGATCCATTATGGGATACAATGGATAGTAATGAGAATAATGCATTGCCTTTTCATTTAACAAATGTTTTATATAAAGATAGTAAGATAAATCAATTGGAAGGTAAGGAGAATTGAACTAGTTATTCTACAGTTTCTGATTACATTTGATTACGTCTCTGTTCTATCTACAGATTATAGTATCAAGGTGGGTAGTGGCTAGTATTGGAATCCAAGATGTGCGTTTCATCCAAATGGGGAATTGTGTTGAGATGGATAGACTTACATTTCACAGATGATATTCAGTACGGGACTTGTACTCAATACTTACTTAGTTACTTACTTATTGTTGGGGATGTTAGATCCCCAAAATTCGCTTGATAATGCCTTATTTTGGTTTACACGTTTACTAGCATGGGCTGATCAGTTGACCTTTTAGATTTCAATTCCCACCAGGAAAATCCATGTCTGTGATTGGCTGCTGTGTATTTTAGTGTTGTGCTATTTTCTTAACTGTCTCAAGGACGTTTCTATGTTATATAAATAAACGAGAGTTGTATGCTTGATTGTACTGTGATTGCTAGGTGTTTGCAGAATATACTTTCTAAGCTTACAAAGCCTTTTTACTTCAGCCTCGGATTCAAGGTAGCCTACCTGGACGCTGGTTGATTGTCTCGTTCGCGTTTATCGACTAAGGTAAACTCGTAATAGCCTCAAGCATACTAAGTGACGAACCCTACACTTACTTGCGCCTGTTAACCCCAATCGAGCATAGGCCGCCCACCAGTTTTCGCCAACCAACTCTGTCCTGGGCTTCGCTCTCCAGTTCTGTCCAATTTTTGTTCATTCCTCTCATATGTTTCTCTATTTCTCGGCGTATAATGTGTTCCTTGGCCTTCCTCTTTTTTTTCACCTTGAGGGTTCCATGTGAGGGCTTGTCTCATGAAGCATTTAGGTGCTTTCTGCAATGTGTGTACTATCCACGTACTCAATACTACTTGCTTTAAATAAACAATGTATCATTCCATTAAGCTACTGAGTTTAGAGAGTCACTGGCTTGTAAAAGATTATGAAAGGATGTAAATATGGAGAATGACCATTATTAGAAACTTACCGCTTCAGAGGATGATGCTACATTGACCTACTTCACTTGTATTTATTATTATGGTGTGGGATGGGATAGATTGATCATTTGTGAAGTTTAAATCGTTCAGCTTCATTTGAGCTGTACATTGTATTCTGTACTTACTCTAAGATGTTGACATTCTCATAATCCAGTCAATCATTAGGAGACGGTGAGAAACTGTGAAGTTAAGTAGATTTGCCTGACATCTGACTTCACTTGGAATGCAATTGGGAGCTACCATCCACTCATGATTTTTTTTTCGGAATAATTCCGTATGATATCATCGTCTATCTTCTCAAGACCCAACGTATAATCTCACTTTGTTGATAGAGCATAGATATGCAAATCCTTCAGCATTTTCATTGCTTGTCTTCGAAGCATTGCTCGTATATCCTGAGACAACCGAGTAAGCAATGCTATAGTTGGGAAACGAGTACTAGGTAGGGACGGCAAATCAATAGATGAAGTAGTGAAACTTCATCAGTTGAGGTGGTTGGGACATGTGTTACATATGCCTAACCACCTACTGCCTCGTCAAGCGATGTTTTGTAATGTAGGAGTAGTTTGGAAGAAAGCCAGGGACGGCCAAACCAAAACATGGCACAACTCCATGAAGTGTTACTGACAACTGTACTGTGTCATGTTGGTGGATGTCTACTACCTGGTTGGGGTCCACGAGACGAAAGTCACCAATGGTTAGAGACCTTGGACGACATAGTTCCAAATCGTTTGCAATAGTGCAAGTGCATCCAATCTTTGTGTGCTGTCACATTCTAACCTTCTGGATTCCTCATCATCTCTATCTTTCTCTTTCTAAATTTATTTTACTAAGTTATACTTCTCGAATCATATCTTCGAACCCTAATCTTCTTCATTACTGCTAATACTTCCATTATCTCTACCACTATGGGATTTGAACTGAAAATTGAACCTCTGTGCTTACATGGTATGACAACCTGAACTTATATGCATACTTACGAGGTTCTAAGTTGAAACTGACTGACTAACTGACTAATTGACTGACTGACCTTGAAGTTTATGTCTCCAATAAAGATGATCAGCACTTTTCCTTGGCACAAAATTGTTCACATAACACTAGATTTCATTATTATTTTTAAAAACTGTAATATGAAATCAGTTTTTTTCAATTTCAACTACTCTTTCGTACGTAAAACCAAAGGTCCTGGGTTCGAACCCCCCACTGATAACGATTAGCCTCATACACCAGGATAAAACGACTATCTTTCAATGCTTTACAAGAAGTTTCTTGCCAATGTGATAATAGTCTAACAAACATTATTGATTCATGATTTCCATAATTTGAATTGAGAAAAAATTTTAATTTCAGCTTTATGTTGTTCTTATTAATAAAAACTGTAATCATTTATAGATTTCAAAAAAACGTTTTGTTTCCCCTTGTTTGTGTGTATGTGTGTGAGCGAGTGTGTGTGTGAGTGAGTGTGACTGTGTGTACCGATGATTGGACAAGTGTAATAATACAACAGATTACACTACCTACCCCATTCATGTAATCATCATATAGGCAACGGACGGATGGGTGAGGGGGCGGCGGAAAGGCCATTTATACATGAAACGAACATATTTAATGAGAATGCTAATACAAGTAGATATTGAACGGAAAGAAATATATATATAACAGTCGGTTAGTACTGGTAAATAAGACCGTGAATCCGCGCCGATGAATGAGGTAGGTAGGTAGGTGGTTGGGTGGTGGGTGAGGAACGAAGGAAGGAAGGAAGACAGCAGTGTATCAAACATGATAAATCAATTTCATATTGTTTATTGTCAAAATCCAGATTATATGGTTTATCTGTACTACTACTGTTACTACTACTATTAATACTACTACTATTACTACTAATAATAATAATAATAACATTGATAATGATAAATCTGTTTACTTCGTGTTAGAAAAAAAAAGCAAAATTCACTGATCCATTCTGTGAATAAAAAAAAATGATCATTTTCTGTAGGTGTGTGTGTGTGTGCGTGTGCGTGTTTGTGCACGCCTAGTTGAAGCATACGAAATTCCCAATTCTTATATTGGGAATGAGACCATTGCCTTGCCTTGCCTTCTGGCTGTCTCTCTCTCATACATTTTTTTCAACAAAAGGAATATTTCACACACACAAAAAGAAGATTAGAATAGAAATCAAAATCTCACGCTTCATAAAAAATACAAATAAATATATAAGTTTTGTCTATATATACATATATACTACATATACTACTTAATATATATATATATGTATAATAATAAGTAGTATATGTTGGGCAATTGGCTCCAATAATTAACAAAACAAATAGTGATATTTTTGGAATAAAATATCGAGAGTGAGAAATACCCCCCCCCCTAAATGAAAATATCTACATATAATTATTCATTATTATAAATTGAATATTGAATTTGTTTAAATGAACGCGATAATATGAATGTTATTTTGGCGGGAAAATACAACACAAACAAACAACATGAACAGTGTTCATGAAGTGAAATCATGTGTGCAGGTGTTTGTATGTGTGTGTGTATGAAATAGAGACAGTTGAATATGAATATGATTTAGAAAGCTAAAAAGAGAATCAGGATTACACAAAATATGATGAACATTGAACATGAATAGTAGTGGGATTGAGGAGAGAAGAGGTTATTACAAAAAAAACTAATAATATTTATTTTGTTAAATTGTATAAATTCTGTGTAATTTAACATGATAAATTAATTTGTGTTGTATAAACGTTAAAAATATCAAGGAACATGTGAATTGATATTGTTGTTTTAATATAGGAGTTTTGAAAAATACTTATGTATATATAATTCGGTTAAGGATTGAAACTAGGGATTTTGTTATAGATATTAAGATGAATATTGAACATTGACACCTTCTTTGTCAATGTTCAATGGTTAGTAATTGATAATTACTTACTTACTTACTTACTTACTTACTTACTTACTTATGCACTGATGCACTTACTTACTTAATTACTCCCGTTACCCACAGTGGAGCATAGGCTGCTGACCAGTATTCTCCAACCTACTCTATTCTGGGCCTCTCTTTACAGTTCTTTCCAATTTTTGTTCACTCTTCTCATGTCTGTCTCCATTACTCGGAGTAATGTATTCTTTGACCTTTCTCTTTTCCTTTGGTCTTGAGAATTCTAAGTGAGATCTTGTCTTGTGACGCAGTTTATTGGTTTACTCAACGTGTATCCTATCCACTTCCACCGTTTCTTCCTGATTTCTTCATTACCTGGAATCTTGTTTGTTCTCTCCCGCAGTAGGTTGTTGCTAATGCTGTCTGGCGAACGAATCAAAAGTACTTTGAGTTGAATTATTATTCCTAGTTAGCGATTATTTTAGTGAGTTAGATTTCCAAGAGATGGGGTCACAAAAGGACGCATTTCCAATGCTCCTCCTTGATCCAGGCTTAGAACAGGCAGTAGCTCCGAAGGGGCTCCAGAAAAACTGTTACGGTTGTTGTTCATTTCTGTCAATTCACAATAGTAAACACAATCCCTGACTCACATTTTCAATAATTTCATCTTAATGACGTCATAATAATAATAACTGGGTTATTTTCCGTTGATGTATGCGAAATTTAAACAAATAGGTACTAAATTCAAGTTTCAATATTGAAAATCAACACTGTGGCATATGACTGGTATATTCAATTTACAAATTTTAAACAGGACGAAATACGCACTCTGGATTCCACCACTAACTGAAATCCAAGACGTAACCAGTTGATCTCAACCTTGTTGGGTGTAGGCAGTAAATGCCGAAGACCTTGAACGGTGAGGTTGTGCAAAATCCCTAGATTGATCAGAGTCAGATATTAAAACCTGTTACGTTTGTACATAAACACGTCAACTTAATATACTTGAACTATTACAAGTTTACCTAGTCGGAAAAACGAGAGCGAGGATCTAGGACCCGGCTACACGACATGCTACGCTAATCCGATTATCCCAACCCCCATATTTAGTAAAAATAAGAAGAGATGATATGAAGTAGAATCTGTATTCTACAAGCATCCAGAAAGTACGATGTCCCAATCCAGAAGAGAATCAGGATCCCGGATGGAGGATCGGGGACCGAGCCCTAGTCCAGGTCATGGTCATAAAACTTTACAAATAATGCGTATTTATACATTTTGGTCGAATAGGAAACAGCATCGAATTCTGTGGCATTGACAGTTAAGACGACCAATAGGAAGTAACATTTGAAATGACATTGACAGTCCGTATGACCAATAAGAGACAACATTGAAGTATTTGACTTTGACAGTTAAAACGACAATAATTTTGACCAATAGGATTTTACCAATAATTCTCTTAGGATATTGGATGAGTATCCTAACAAAAGCGTTGGATGCCGACTGGCTCAGTACTCCATAGGTTAAGCATTCGCGCACAAGGTCGAATGTCGTGAGTTCGAATCCTGTGACAAACAGGATTCATGGACGCTTATTGCCACGGGTTAGCGATTTTTTCAGCGAGTTGGTTTTCTAACAAATGGGGTCACAAGACTCGCATTTCCAACCCTCCTCCTCTATCCAGGCTTAGGATAGGTAGAAGCTCCAGGCGGGGGCTCTTGTATTTGTTGTTCCTTTTCAGTTCCCATTTTTAAATAATTTCGTTGTGATGACGTCACAATAATAATGTTATATTACTTTTCATTATTTTTTTTCACAGTTCCAATGCATTTAAAATCAACTTATCCCGATCAAATATCACCATCACATCAAACACAATCATCATTGACAACAACCATGGCAACAATCACACAACCTTCGTTATCAAACAATGCATTAGATCTCCATTCAACTATACACAATCAACAATGGTTTTGTTCACAATGTAATCAAAAATTTCCTAATATTCAACAATTTCATTTACATTTTACACAAATTCATCATTCCAGTGTGTCAGAATTGAACACATTGAATTTCATTGGCGGTAATATGATGAACAATAATAATACTTCGACGACCAATTCCTTATTACCGTCATCATCGTTATCAGTGTCATCAACCGGGATCCAATCGAAACCAATGAATCATAATACCCTGTTGACCAATAATCGTTCAATGCTTACTGGTAACAATCATAATACTAATAACAGTAGTATTGATAGTAGTATCGACAGTAGAATGCCAATATTCAATGATTATTATTATCAGTATTATGATTGGTTAAAATCAAATTATCCTCCAAATGCATTGATTGCTCCAACCAATTTTACAGCATTTGCAACGGCAGCCGCGGCGGCCGCCTCCGCTGTGGGTGCGGCTGCGGGTGCTGCTGGTGCTTACAATGAAATGCCTTCATTAAAACAAATTGAACCAGCATTGATGATGAATGAATTCAATGCGAATTTATTTCATTCACCTATTGAAGAAACATTGAACACCATTGTGACTACCACTTCTACTTGTAATACTACTCACATTAGCAATAGTAGTAGTATTAATAGTAGTATTTGTAGTATATCGATGAAAAATAATCGAAATCAAATAGAACCAACAGAACGGAGAAAACGATGCAAAGAATCTTTGTATCCTCCACCACCAAATAAGCCATGTTTATTATCTGAAGCGAAAACGTACAAAATTTGAACAGAATGAATTGAATCATGAGAAACAAGGTAGGTGAATTATTGATTTTTTTTCAATTAAAGTAATAAAGATGATTATTATTAGAGAGAGAGAAACCTGGAAGCATTGAAGAACAGTCGTTTTCGTCTTGGTGCATGGGACTACTTACTCATCACTAAGGCGTAGTGTGCATCCACGACTCCTGTTACTCGTGGGGATTCGAACTCAGGACCTTTAGTCTTGTGCTCGAATGCTAAACCTCTGGACCATTGAGCTAGTTGGAATTCAGAGGTGCTAATGTCTGATTCTTATCAATCTAAGGATTTCTCATAACTTCACCTATCATTTTCTTCGATAGTTACTGCTTACATCCTAGAGAGTGTAGTTTGTAGCGGAATCTGGAATGTGTCTTTCGTCATATTTAAAACTTGTTAATTGAATGTATTAGCCACATGCTACAGAGCTAATTTTCAACACTGCAACTTGAACTTAGTACCTATTTGTTTAAATTTCACTAACATCAAACGGAAAAAAAAACCCGTAATTAACTATGATCTTTAATATCAACAACTAGAAAGCACAAATCTATGCAAGTTCAGATTTATGCCGGTTAAAATTGAGTACCTTTCTAGATAACGAACGTTATGTCAAGCATATTTGTTCAAAATAACACACAAGACAATCAGCTTTGGTATTTAAGTGACGTTATTCACCATGGCGCACTAGAGCGAAGGTCCTGGGTTCGAATCCTGAGAGATGCAGGAATTAGCATGGATGCGCACTGCCTCTGATGAGTGCCATACACTAAGACGAAACGGCCGTCTTTCAGTTCCTACAGGTTTCTGATGGTGATCTAACAATGACTAACTGATGATTTCAAATGTGTAAAAACACTAATCTCCATAACTCTTATTTAAAATATCGCAAAGTGTGCTCACTAGTGACCACCAGCTTCGTGAGTAAATTCTCAGAGTTCTTCTAATGAGAAGACGTGACCAGTGGAGGAGTTCAACCCTGTCGGGTGTAGGAAGTAACTACCGAAGACAATTAAGGGTAAGGTCACGCAAAATCCCTAGATCAATCAGAGTTAGACACTAACACCGTTAGATGCCGACCCAGTGGTCCAATGGTTAGACGTTCTCGCACTAGACCGAAGGTCCCGGGTTTGAATCCTGCGAGATGCAGGAATTAGCGTGGATGCGTCCCATAGTAGGACGAAACATCCGTCTTTCAGTGCTTTCATATCTCTAATGGTGTGGTCTAACGATGATTGATTGATGATTTCAAATGTGTAAAAACACTAATCTCCATTACTCTAATTGAAAATACCGCAAAATGTGCTCACTAGTGACTACTAGCTTCTTGAGGGAATTCTCGGAGTTCTTCTAGTGAGAAGATGTGACCATTGGAGAAGTTCAACCCTGTCGAGTGTAAGCAGTAACTACCAAAATCCCTAAATCAATCAAAGTTGAACATTAACACCGTTAGATGCCGGCCAAGTGGTCCATTGGTTAGCATTCTCGCACAAAACCACAGGTCCCGGGTTCGAATCCTGCGACATGTAGGAATTAGCATGGATGTGCATCACCTCTGATAAGTCCCACACACAGTGGGACGAAAAGGGCCGCACTTTCAGTGCTTCCAGGTCTCTGATGGTGATCTTACAATGATTGATTGATGATTTCAAATGTGTAAACTTATTGGAGTCAGAGAAAACAATTAATCCTTAAGAAACAATTGAATATTGAAAATCATACTCTTCATAACACTCAATTCAATTAAATTGAACATTGATCTTTCCGTTCTTTAAAATAGTTATTATTCTTATTTGACAATTTATCATTGATACATTTTTTATGTGATTACCTCCCAGCAGGTTCATTTTCATGTTTATGATTGTGATTAGTAATATTATCATTATTATTATTACGATGATTTAGTGAACGTGCGTATGTGTGTGTGCGCGTTTTATCTGGCGTCTATTTCATCTTTCTAAACATACACACACACCTGCACACACACGCGCTGCACACACATACGTACACACATACACACAGGTGTATATGATCTTGAATATAACAGAAATTTATTTTTTTTTCTCTAGATTTGATATTTCATCTTTTAAAAATGGTGTAATTTATAAAATTTATCATTTTTTTTCAACTGAACACTCATTCACTCACTCAGTAGGTGTACTAATTATTTATTAGAATAAAAAAAATGACAATTAGAACGTTAGTGTGTGTGTGTGTATGTATGTGTATGTGTGTGCGTGCGCTCGAAAGGACCGGTTGAATGAATATGACGTTATTGAAAGTATCTTATGTATTGTGATTTGACTTTATTAAGCCATCATTGATAGACAAATCATCATACATGAAAGTGTGTTGTTTTTGACATGGTGTAATATTTTTCAATTGTAATGTCCTCACTATGATTAGAAATTTTGAGATATTGTACAACGGTCGTTTCGTCCTTGTATTGGGACTTATCAGCAATGTGACTACATAACCTCCGTATTGTTGTGAACGAGAACATAGGTGAGGGAAACCGAATTGTATTCAACGAAAATTACAGAGTTACTCAGTAAAATAGGAAAACCATATCGTAAATCGTTCATTTGCAAAATATCAGTTCATCATATCGAACTGGACTGTTCCTGTTGCAAACAACATCAATCCATTGTCACTCACTATTCATGCGTTTCATACAAATTCCATTGTGTTCTAACTCTTCTTCCTTTCTTGATCTTCCCCCATCTTCTGTTGCCAGACATGACGTTGACACTCACATCATATACTACTTGTAAGTAGCTCACACCACAGCACGTGTTATTTGAACCGTTGGACTATCGTTGGGTACTGACTCAGTGGTTGATAGGTTAAGTGTTCATACGTGAGACCCTCAGATTTCCTTAGTTCAATTCTTGCGTGCGACGCTCGTGCATGTGCATTGTTGATAAGTCCTATAGTAGGACAAAACGACTGTTCAGTGCCGAACTGTTCATGTAGTAATGGTAAAACGTGTCCAGTCTCTATGGTTCTCCTGAAAACCAATGTAAAATTGCCCTAGACATTACAGGGTAAATTTATATAATTGTGAATAAACTGGTTGATCCTGCCAGTAGTCATATGCTTGTCTCAGAGATTAAGCCATGCATGTCTAAGTACATACCTTAATACGGTGAAACCGCGAATGGCTCATTAAATCAGCTATGGTTCCTTAGATCGTAAATGCTACATGGATAACTGTAGTAATTCTAGAGCTAATACATGCCTTGAATCCCTGACCCGTAAGGGGACGGGTGCATTTATTAGAACAGAACCAACCGGGTGCGGCTTCGGCTGTGCCTGTTACATTCTGTGATGACTCTGGATAACTTTTCTGATCGCAGTCGGCCTTGTGTCGGCGACGGATCTTTCAAATGTCTGCCCTATCAATTTGTTGGTAGGTGATTTGCCTACCATGATGATAACGGGTAACGGGGAATCAGGGTTCGATTCCGGAGAGGGAGCCTGAGAAATGGCTACCACATCCAAGGACGGCAGCAGGCGCGAAAATTACCCACTCCCGGCACGGGGAGGTAGTGACGAAAAATACGGATACGGGACTCAATTGAGGCTCCGTAATTCGAATGAGTACAATTTAAATCCTTTAACGAGGACCGATTGGAGGGCAAGTCTGGTGCCAGCAGCCGCGGTAACTCCAGCTCCAAAAGCGTATATTAAAGTTGCTGCAGTTAAAAAGCTCGTAGTTGTGTGTGCACGCGCAAAAGAACCGTTTGAAGGATATATGAGACCCTGTAAAAATAACTTATCACATATAGATATGTAGGCATGACAGTAAGTTATTGATTCGACTACCTCATGAACAGACAAACCATACATGATAAAAGAGACCCACAGACAGTGGAGAGCTATTTTTTCCTGGTATAAGACTAAGCGTATGCACGTCCTTTGCACATGAGAATTAAACCCTAGATTAGTGATCTCATGGTTGAACATTTAACCTCTAGACCACTGAGCTGATAGTCAATGGTGTTAATGTTTAACCTTGATTAATCTATGGTAATGCTGTGGGATAAGCGATCGTATGCGACACTGATGGATCACCACCCAATGCCATCGATGAGTTCCATACTAACTAACAATGATCAATTTCAATTAGAGTTATGGAGATTAGGTTAGGTGTTCGCGCTCAGGACCGAAGGTCCCAGGTTCGAATCCTGCTAGATGTAGGAATCATGAATGTGCACTGTCTGTGATGAGTCCCATTCACTAGGATGAAAATTAGTGGTACTCTCTTCCTGACCGACTTAGTAGTCCAAAGGTTAAGCATTCACGCGCTACCCTCAAAGTCCTAGGTTCGAATCCCGTGAGTAGCAAGAGTTATGGATGTGCACAGTGCCGCTCATAGGTAGTCCCATACATCATGAAATGGCTGTCTTTCCGTACTTCCAAGTTTCTTTCTAATATGGTGGTCGAACAATGACTGACTGATGATTTCAAATGTGTAAAAAACAATGATCTACAATGAAAAATCGTACAGTGTGTTTACTAGTGACTAGCTTCGTGAAGAAATTCAAGGAGTTCTAGGTGAGAAGAAGTGATGAAAAGGCGTTCAACCTTGTCGGGTGTAGTCAGTTATTACCGAAGACAATTTTATGGATGAGGTCCCTCGAAATTCCTAGATTGATCAAAGTTAGACATTAACGTCTTCGGGTGCCGCTTGTCTCAGTGGTCCTGAGGTTAAGCGTTAACGGCTTAAACCAAAGGTCATAGGTTTGAATCGCGTGAGTAGTAAGAGTCGTGGATGTGCACAGTGCAGCTGGTGAGTAGTGCTATACACCACGACGAAACAGCTGTCTTTCTTTGCTCCTAAGTTTCCTTCTAATACGGTGGTTGAGCAATGGTTGACTGATGATTTCAAATGTGTAAAAACACTGATCTACAATGAAAAATCGTTCAGTGTACTCATTAGTAACTAACTTCATGGGGAAATTCTCGGAGTCAGTTACTACT